ATAAGGGACCAACACATCCTTCGATGTGGAACCTTCCAGCTTCATTACGGCGAATTGAGATCACACCTAAATGGACAAAAGTTAATTTTACGAAGGAAACACACTTTAAACTATGCGATTTTTGCCTTAGAAATGCTGCTTTTCCAAAATCAGAACACATCATTTACTTTGAAACAACGATGGATGTTCAACTTCAAAATGGCATCATTCACTCATTTTCAAAACAACTTTTGGCGGTTGCTCAGAGTAAAGAGAGATAATTTGTAGTAAACAAAGATTAAAAACGGTAAACTTTACCTCCTATATACAAAACTCCTGATGAAAATTCTGCGGAGAAGCCCATATTGAGCAGGAACTGCTTCATTTCTGACAACTTTGGATCATTTACATAGACGACCTGAAAAAAAAGACGAATCAACTGCACAAACTCAAAAACTTAGAACACTCACATCTCGGAAAGGTGCTTCACCACTGAGAGCACTCAACATGCATTTGTCTATATGCTGCTCAGCCAGTTGAACATCTGCTGATTTTTCATCAGTCTGCAAGATTTGAACGTCAAAAATAAAGAATAAAAAATTGGATAGAGGTGGAATAGGAACTTACCTCCATGCCATTTTCTGGCTCGACTCCAACTTCAGAAGGACGTGCAGTGATTTGGGCATCTATCCAAGCCAAATCAGCATCTTTGACCCAAAACAGAAGGTTTTCTGTTACTCTGAATCAACCAAGACAGAATCTGCTTACCTTGATGAATTCTAAGCTTTCGAACAGCTCGTCATTCAGAAGTATTCTGTAGATATGGGAGGCTACGGTAGCGTCTACAGTTTCACCAACAGATGGCGCGAAAATGTGTCCCTGAAAAATGTATACTGATAGTAGTAGAGAAATGCTTGACAAAAGAAAGCTAATAAGTTGCGAAGACAAGAAAATAAACATATCGGACCTGTGCGATATTATTATCATAGCAGTGCTGAGCCAGATGTCTAGTGGCCTGAGCTGAACCGTGGACCAGTATCAACTGTTTAGGCTTTATTTGTGCGATCAACTTCTTTACTGACTCTCCATCAGATCTGCCCTCGAATTCTATGTATTCCACATTACAGGAAACCTAAAAGCAAAATTTTGCTTTCTGGAATCGAACTGTAGATTTTTCGCGAACCTCAATCTTCTCTATCACAGTGATGCACTTAGTTGGCGCATCATCTACCAAAGGTACAGCCATGTTAGCTGTTGGATCGTCAGCTTCCTTGATGATCTCTTGAGGTACTGGTAAGTGTACTCGTAGCTTGGAGACGGTATAATCTTCAGGGCGATACTTCTCTCCATAAACATCCCACTAAAACAAAACTTTCCAAAGCAGTTACCTTAAAATCAAGCTACATACCTTGACTTTCTCCTCCAACAGCGGATACATTGGAAGCATAATTGGCATAAATCTTTTGAAGAAGGGTACCCTAAAAACGATTTATTCAAAAAAAAACAACAATAAAACCAAATTTCGTCGTTTCTAAACATATTTTACAGAAACGAACAAGAAGACAGAGAAAAACTATATGAGGGTCAATCACCATACCTGTACCGCATCATCGCTTGCATCGTTATGTTATGCCTAACTGGACGCCGCTTCCTCGTAGGAAATGTTGGACCTG